ATTGGAAATGCAGAGGGGAAACAGTCTCATTCAAGCTTATCTGGATGAATGAACGTCACTTTTCCTCATTACCATAAGAACCAATAAACCTTGGGTTTTCATGATTGCTTTTTAATTAATGGCAATAAATGTAAGATGCCTTTAAAATCACCATATGCGTAACTAAAAATTGTAAGTAAGTTGTTGCTGCATGGTGGGTGGTTGTGGTGGTGGTTGTTGTTGTTTTGTCCTATGAGGTCATCATTCTTTTCCTGTCCTAAATTCAGTTCCTATAACAATCATAGTAATAGTTGTCTCTGGATTCCTACCTAAAGCTAAATAGGTATGTCTCACTGCATTTGACATCCTAGATAATAAAGCAGCTTGATATGTCAGTATAAGGCTATATCATTTGGAGTTTAATTCAATTGTCAAGTTACCACTTTAGAGTGCAAATTAAAATTGAAGTTTAACTGATACTCTAAGGTTATTTTTCTTAACACCCCCCCCCAAAAGGACATTTTCCTTAATAAATATCTGTTTTTTTATCAATGTTCTTGAAGCAATTGATGACTAAATAGATGATTTCTAGGTTTCCAGTTCCAAAATCTTATGATCCAATTAATACCTACCTTTGTTGTTTAGTTGTTTCAGTTGTGTCCAACTCTTAATGACTCCATTTGGGGTTTTTGAGAAAGATACTGGTGTGGTTTGCCATCTCCTTCTCCAGCTCATTTTACAGATGAGGGAAACTGAAGCAAACAGGGTCAAGTGACTTGCCCAGAGTCACACAGCTAGTAAGCCTTGGAGTCAGGTCTTTCTCACTCTAGAACCAATACTCTATCCACTGTGCCATCTAGCTGCCTCAAATACCTAGAGTTAATTTTTTTCTAAGAGTATACAGAACCACAGAATCTTTGAGTTGGCAAGGACCTCAGAGACCATCTGTGCTCACCCACATAGGATTAGGAATGCTCTCTACCACATAAAAATCATGGTCATTCAGTCTCTACTTGAAGATCTCCAGGGATGAGGAAGGCACTACCTTCCCCTTAGCCAGGCTACTCCTCTTTTGCAGGGCTCTAATTGGTAGGAAGTTTCTCCTTACCTTAGACCAAAATCTGCCTCTCCAGAATTTCTACTCACTACTCCGAGTTCTACCCCCTGGAACCAAACAAAATCTAATTTCTCTTCTGGGTGTTAATCTTAATGTGTTCCCTCTGAGGTTATCTCAATTTCATCCCATATATAGCTTCATTGTACATAGTTGTTTACATACTGTCCCCTACCACCTCTCCCCACTGGTCTGTGAGTTCCTTGAGAAGAGGAATTTTTTTTTCTTGCCTTTCTTTGTATCCCTAGCACTTAGCACAGTGCCTGACACATAGCTGGCACTTAATACATGCTGACTTGACAAACACAAATTTTCTGTAATTATGGAACAAGAAGCAACATCAATATGCAACAAAACAAATGATGTTGACAAATGAAACTAACCAATGACAGATGGCCACCCCGCTTTCAGACACAAACCTTGCTTTTTCATTAGGAGCAGGTAGATACAGACTATATACCTGCTTATAACATAACTTCAGTGTATGCTTGGTTTCTGCAATGCCCACAAAAAACAACAACAAAATTCTTTCCTCTACAGGCTACCAGTTAGAGCTTTATTCTTTCAACTTTGGCTCTGTTACTTACTCACCTGTATGTATGACCCTGAATAAGTCACTTAAACCCCTTGGGTGTCATTTTCCTGAAATGAGGTTGTACCAAATGATCTCTAAGGCCTGGCCCAGCTCTAAATGCTATGATCCCTGTGAAAGTTTTGATTCCTAGTAAGGTGCAAAACCTCTACTGAAGTCCCACTCTGATACCTTACAGTGGTGGAGCAGTAAGGCTGGGTTCTGGAAGGACCCACATCATGAAAGCACCAGCTTTGGTAGGCCCTACACTAAGCTAGGAAGGCTTCAAAGCAAGGGCTTAGGAATGGACTGTGAGCATCATTTGAGAGCCGGTCCAGCTAAATTTGAAGAGACTCATCAGAAAGAAGACCAGCTACATCAAACCACTAAGAATTTCTAGTAACATGTAGCAGGGGTCAGACCTAACTCAGGAAGAAATCATGCTGAGGAAAAAAAAGCAAAAACAAACTATAACATTCAAAGTGTTTTGTTTTTAAGATGAAAATACCACAGTAGAGGGTAATGCTAAAAGCTGTCATCGGTCACATATATCTTATTATGAATGGTTTTTAAGAGACTTTCATGAGGGCAGGTTTTGATAAGGAGATATAGGAAGAAGATAGGGAAAAAACAGCAAGTGGACACAGGGGACTTGAGGAAGAATGGACAAGGAAGATCACCAAGCGGGAGATAGAAAGTGAAGGGTTCTTCCTTGATACTTGCAGAAGCAGGGCTGTAGTCAGTTTTTGTTCTATGTGGAATTTAGTTGCTAAGATTACTTGCTATGTGAAGCCTCCAAATATTTGATTAAAAATGTTGGCCACCAAACAGCAAAGCTGACCCACTCAAAATTAAGCTCTGTTTAAGAAAAACAACCAGGCTGCCAGTTGCCTCTTTGCTAATTTAACATGCATTCTCAGTCCTTGTATTTTCCCTTCTTGCTTTCATTTAAAGATACCAATGTGTTTGTGTGTGTGTGTGTGTGTGTGTGGTGTGTTAAATGTAGCAACCAAACCCTACATTCATTGTTGAGGAAACACTGGATTCAAAACCAAAACAAACCACTTCTTGAATGAAAATGGTCTGCATCTAAAACTAATCCGTGTTACATAACAGCTTATGTTAAAAAAAAAAAAAAGGCAGTCACAGCTTTAGTGGAATTTAGGTAGCCAGAACACATTTACTATACTAGACTAATCCAGGCCACCAGGGGTAACATTTCATTTCTTTTAAAGATCCTATGTCTTATGGAATTTTTAGTCACCACAAATGTCAGTATCTAGATATACACAATATTTTAAAATGGGAACCTGAGAGGACAAAATGAAATTTTTTCCAAATGTCCAGAAACAACATGATGGTTTAAAAATCCTATTTAAGAAAACAAGGAGAAAATGCTAGTATAATGAAAAAATGGGAGTGTCAAAAATGTGTGTATGTCATCTAAAATTGGTGGTAATCTTTGAGGAGGCTGTCAGTCTCCTTTCTGGCCACAAGATACAGGCCACAGTTTCACTAAGTAAGAGGACATAAACAAGGAAAGAATGACTACCCACAATTGTGGGGTGGGAAAAACACCCAAACCCCACTCCTGGATCAGCCCAATTTCAGTGAGTCACTTCCTCTGTGGACCAAGGGTAAACATACCAGTTGTTGTCTGAAGGATTTAGGGAGGTTAAAGAGTATGTTAGGACTGGGCCTTAATCAATAATAAAAGTCTTATCTAGTTTGGAAAAAAATGAACAGCTGTTCAATGCTTCTTCATAATTCCCACTTTCTTCACCTCCAAAACCACACAATAGCAATTCACTACTGTTTCGATGGTCATGATGACATAGCATTCATGAGATTCTATAAAACTAAAATGGAAAGAAGCTCAAACTTCATTTGTACTTATACTCATTCACTTTGGATGGGTGTAGACCTCTTCTCCTTCTTTTTTTTTTTTTTGCATGGTGCTAGGTGGCACAGTAGATAGAGTATGAGTCCTAAAGTCAGAAGACTCATCTTCCTGAGTTCAAATCTGGACCTTAGATATTTATTAGCTGTGTGACTCTGAGCAAGTCACTTAACCCTGTTTGCCTCAGTTTCCTCACCTGGAGAAGGAAGTGGCAAAACACTCCAGTATCTTTGTCAAGAAAACTCCAAATGGGGTCACGAAGAGCTGGATGGCTGAAAAACGACTCAACAACAATTATTACTTTTAACATCTTTAGGCCTTGAATCAGATCTTCAAGGCTAGCATGTAGCCTTTCTGGCCTCACAAGCTTTCTTGACACAGAACTGTCACTGTGCCAGCAGCACACACACGTGGCTGGATTAAGCCTGAGCTGCCCTGTAAAGTGCACACACACATACACACTCTTTCAATGTGGGCTTTTCATTCCTAAAATACTTTGTTTCTAAACCACTTATATGCTTCTCTCGGCATGAAAGAATCCAAGTGGACCTTTGCCAAGATGACACTGTGTGGAGACTCAGATGTGTTGTTTCTTATTTGGAGGCTGCTTTACCTAAAAAGGTTCATACACTCAACACTTTAGGGTAATTATGAGATAGAAGGTAATTTAATGAAAAATGTCCCTCCCGACTCCACCCCTGCCAGGGTACGTAATAGCACTACTAGAAATATGAAATATAGCCTATAATTACTTCTGTTGAGAATGAGAATTACAGATTCCAAGTTAAAATGGGCAGTTTACAAAAGTACAAAAATTTTTAGCAGAAAGGGTTACTAAGCTCCTATCTATATTTACTTTACTGACTTCTACACATTACACACTCATATTGTAAAATTGAATTTTGGAAGAAGGTTAAGTTGGGGTTCAGTTTTGTTGCTGTTTTTTAGGGGGAGGGGCATAGCGTTTTAGTTATGGTATTATACCATAGAACTGAGCACACCAATACAAGGTTAATTTCTTTCATGGGGGTGAGGTTGGGGTAGCTATATAAGGGAAAGTGATTTAAGAAGACGTTATATGCCTTTCCCATTTTTGTGAATTTATTTCTAAATCTTTTTGGAAAGATTCACTCACTAAACAAAGTGTGAAATCCATACCTCTGCCTAGGATCCTCAGACAGCTACACTTGAAAAACAAAATATACCCTTAACTACATCAACTAGATACATAAACATACACAAAAATGTGTGGAGAGCTTTATATTAACATCTATCGCACACATGCACACCACAGTCAATTTCATTTTCACCAAAAGGATTTCCAGTGTGGAAATGCAAAAAATAAAACTAATGTGAGTAAAGAGGACTCTTATTTGTCATTTCTTTCTCAGGGAGCTGGGGGGGAGGAGGAGGGAAAAGGAGGGAAGCCAACTTACTTTCTCTCCGTCTCTGGGGTTGACAGCGTGCTACTGAAGCCAAGCGATTCCTATAAGAGAAGATTCATGTCTGTAAGTGTAAGAACAGAGGGCTTCATCTGACTTGTGCAGAATATCAAATTGAAAAAAAAAGCAGAAACAAAAATAGCTGATTAAAGTCATTGTGCTTACTTCAATCTGGGATCGCAGCTGTAGTGACGTGGGGCTGGCATCAGGTTTCTCCTAAAACAGAACAGATGCGGGTTTAATGAGACATCCAAACGTGGCACACAACAGAATGGCAAATAGAAGAGTAGGGAGGGATAGAAAGGGTTTGGGGAAAGGTTAGAATAGAGTGGGAGGAGATGGGAGTGATCAACAGAAGTTCTCGAAAACCTAATGTACTCCCTAAACAAGAGCTCTGACTGGCTTTGTTGAAAAGGGGGCTGATGCCCGATTTGATCTACTTACCACTGCTGATAGAACTGCTGATGGGAAAGAAAGAAGCACAATCCTTGGAGAATACATGGAGACAGAGTAACATTTTGAGAAACACTGAGAGACTAAATGACGGGCTTGCAAAATTCTCTGGACCAGGCTGTGTTGTACCAGGACACTGAATTTATTTCAGATTACTTATGTCTGGCTTTTTTTTTTTTCATATGAGCCAAACTCATTTGGAAGTTCTTAAATTCAGAGACTTCAGTCAGAATGATGGCATTAAAAACGTTCAAAACAAGTTAAATAAGAAGATGCCATAGTGTGCTTGGATGAGCACTGGACCTCCCACTTAATCTATTTGACCATGGGCAAGTCACTTAATTTGCCTGGGTCTGTTTCTTCATTTGGGAAATGCACACTACATGAGATGATCCCTAAAGCCTATTCCACCAATCATCTATGATCTAAGATACCTGAGAAAGCTTCATGTTCTATGGAAATTGGAAAGAATGCTGGACCTCAGAGTCAGAAGGTCTGCCTTTAAATCTAGGCTCTCTTTGTGGCTTTAAGCTTTCTCACTCCCCCTCTCTGGTCATCTGTAATTTTTTTTATCTGTAAAATGGGTGAGTCAAACTAACTGATATCCAAGGGACCATTCCAAATCCAACATTTTGCACTGCTCCTAAGACAAAGTAATTGGTACAGAAGATCATTCAAAGAAAATGTCAATATCTATCATATAAAGGTCAGATAGAAGGAGTGTAAAGTTATCAGGTGAGAAACTAGATAATTTACTAGAGTAGAGAATCATAGATTTAAACAGATGTAAAAAAGAATCATAGAATTTCAGAGCTGGAAGGGTCATTAGATACGATTAAAACCTCTCAGTTTAATGATGAGAAAATTGTCCCCACCCTTCTTAAAGGGAGAAAAAAGGAGGGAAATTCTCAATACCACTCATGAAAAGAATATAAAAAAACTGTTTTGCTTCTTTCAGCACTAAGATATTTGGCAATTCAGACTGTAACTTCTACCTTGGAAGTTTCCACTGCTGGAATTGCAAACCTTTTTTTTTGTAAAGATAACTTTTAATTTGAAATGAGCAGGTATAGTGCAGCAGAAAGATCACTGTCAGTGGAGCCAGAGGACCCAATTTAAAATCCTGCCTCTGACAGGTCATAAAAGTCAGTTAACTTTCCTGGACTTTGGTTTCTTCATATATAAAATGAAGGGGGGTTGGCCTAGATGGCTTCTGGGGTCCCTTCTGATTCTAAATCTATGATGCTATGAACTTTACATAACTTCAGATTGTAAACATCTATTAAATAAATGAGATGACCAAAAATATTTTTTTTTAAAATCATCTCACCACATAATGTGAAAAGTGGCCTTAGGAAAATATAACATTAATTTCTTTCATGGGGGTGGGGTGGGGTAACTATAGTCTTATTTTAACACATCAATGAAGGGAACCCATAGATGACCTTTAATCTGAAGCATTTTGGTAAAAAATAAAGTGAATCAATATGGGTGCTCAGCACATATTTTGAATGATAGATTCTATTTCAGTAGAGGTTAAACAAATCTGTCAAAACTGCCAGAAATCACTGAAAATTATGTCACAAAATCCATTTTCTATAAACTCAGGGTCCATGTCTAGAAACCATGTCTCTCAAAAAGTTAGCATTTTTAGATGCATTTTAAAAAATCTAAGACAGAGGCAAAGAAGAAAAGCTTCTATAAAAAGTGCTTAATTGCTACAAACACAGTTATATACCCACCCAAGTCACAGGCTAAATGACAAAAGTAGAGCTCAGCAACTAATTAAAGTCATTTACAGGTAAAACCAATGCTTTGCCTCTGCAAACATGCTAGAGTCAAAATCAAAGCCTTAGGGAAGGAGTAAGGTTCTGGAAAACCAATTCTTCCCGCCTACTTTGTTTCCACTTTTTGTGAGATTCTACCTTACTTACTTACTGCTACCATTACTAGAAGCCAAATGAGTTTTACAGCTGGAGAGGCAAAGGGGATAAAATCTTCTATTGACCCAAAAGCCCAAAGGAAGGAAGGACACCAGGTACCTACCAACTTATTTCAAAGCCAACTTCTCTCTTCTAGAGGAAGGAGGACATGAAACAAAGACAGAGCAAAAAATTTTTGTGTATGTGTCATGACTGGAAGCTGCATGCATTGAGCTAAAAAACCAGATGCATCCAATCCTCAAAACTGAGCTAACCTCTCTTAAATGCTTACTGTTATCTTCTCCCCTGTGATGTCAGGTAACTCATTTCTCTCAGCCTTATTTTCCTCATCTGTAAAATGAAGGGTTATGATTAAGTGTCCTTTAAGCCTCTGTTACTATTATCTATGACCTTATTTACTTATGTGGGAAAGTTGCTGGGGAGTTAAATATCTTAAATATAAGAATACAATTTAAGAAATACTTGATAAAAATTTACTCCATGTGTATAGGCAGAGCACTGAGCTAGGCAATGGAGAGGGCCATCTAGTCCAATCCTTCCATTGCACAAATAAGGGGACTGAAGGTGATGGAAGTTAAGTCACCTACCTAACAACTCCCAGGCAATGTCAGAGGTAAGACTGGAATCCGCATCACTTTCCAATAGAGTCAGTTCTTTCCACTGAGAGGTGAACTCTAGTTCTAGCCCAGTAAAACGGTGGGAGTTTGGATAAATCACTTCACCATTTTGGACAGATAATGGGGAAGACCCCTTTCTAGCTTTAGGATCTATGACTCTTTTTTTTTGTGTGTGGTTATTTAACTTTCATAAATTTATATGTTTCCTCCAACTCTACCAGTATGTTGCAAACTACCTGAAGGCAAGATAGGGACTTCTTTGTAGGGCTCACAATATCTATTTCATAATGAATAATATGCATTCAATAAATAGAAATTGATTTGTACTTAGCCAAATTCTCTTTTCTCAGCATTTTGGTTCACAAAATCTAAGTGGGGATATGTAATGAAAAATCTCATCTTGGAAAGTCAGAAAGGCCTTTCGAAAAGTAAGAGTAAGCAAAAATAATGAGCAATGTCAATAAAGATCTGTACATCTCTCCTGCTTAATTATGTCTATGAAAACTTCAAAGCAATTTATGTTATAAACCTCTCTTGTTTAAAACAAAACAAAACCCAAACACCATGAGTGGAGCATATTCCCAACCCTAACCTCAAAGTTCAGGAAACCTCACACCTCAACTTTTACAATTAACATTAAAAGGGAAATTTGCCCACCTAATAACACTGTTGTTGGATCCACTGAGAGCTTAGCACTATATATTAGGATACAGAATTTATAAAGCAGGAGAACATGGCACATGAGAAATATTTTTAGATCATACTCAGAGAATGAGCAAATATTCAAATACCACACACAAAAAAAGGGAAGAGCTGGAGAAATAACTTAAGTCCGGCATTACGGTTTTTTTTAATGGTTGACTGCCAATGGCCATTCCACTGTGGTAAGTCAACAGCCAATGTGAAGAAAGCACTTCACAAACCTGAAAGGACTCTATAAAGAAGAAAAAAGCATTTTTTATGCACCTGCTACGTGCTGAGCACTATGTTAAGCACTTTATAAATATTATGGCATTTGATCCTCATGATAACGCTGACAGGTAGTTGCTGTATTATCCCCATGTTACAGTTGAGGAAACTGAGGTAAATATCAGTAAGTGACTTGCCCAGGGTCACATAGCTAGTGAAATCTTGAGGCTTTACTTCATGCCCAATGCTATATCTACTATGCTACTTATAAATGGGAATTGTTATTATTTTCATTTTTACAGCCTCATAAATACATGGAGGATTAAGCTGATTAGCAAATTTGTAGTCCTTTTAGTTAGAATAAATTCTGTGGTTATTCCACTTTTGTACTGGGATGGAATAACTCCATCTCTTTGCTCCATTACTTTTATCTTTTATATGGAAAAATCGTTATTCTAACAAGTTAATTTCAGATATGGTTAGCAATGAGACGTATCATACAGCCACTCTAAAGCCTTCTAAAACTCTTCTCAGTAACAGGCTAATAATGTAACATTTGTAGAACTTATGGGGGTAGAATTTTTTGAATTATAAAATGTCTTTCAAATTAATTTGAGATATCTACAAACATATAACCTTGTGATCATTACATTCACCACCAACAAATCTAAGTTAACCCTAATACCTTATATGTGTATGGTGCTTTATAGTTTTAAAAGCCTTTTCGTTTGATGCTCAGAACAACCCTATAAAATAAGCAGAACATGGATTATTTGTGTGCTTATGGACTAGAGCAGGGGTGGGCTTGAGGCCTCGAGGCCACAGGTTCCCCACCCCTGGACTAGAGGTTTAAAGATATCAAGTGATTTACTCAGGGCCAAAAGCTGGTAATGGAGCTCTGAAAGCACCCTGGTTTTCTGAATAAGACCAGTGTTATTTCCACTACCTTGCACCATTTCTGATAGGCAGCTAGATGGTGCAATGTATAGACTGCCAAGTCTGAAATCAGGAAGACCCGAGCTCAGATCCAGTCCTGGGCAAATCACTTAGCCTCTCTCAGCCTTACTTTCTCGATCTGTAAAGAGGGGTCGCTAATAGCACCTACCTCACAGGGTTGATTGTAAGGACCAAAATGAGGTAATATATAAGTGCTTTGCAAAGCGCTACATAAATGCTAGCTATCACTACATCGATAGGAAAGATTTAAGAATATACTTTACTAAGAACATAGGTACAACTAACTTTCCTTCCTTTTTTCAAAGTGCTTTTAGGTTAGTTGATCAAGAAGTAACAT